GGCAACCATCCCTGGGACAACTTCCTGATAAATATTATCAGTTTCAAACCAATCTGAGTTATATTCAGAAAAAAATATGAGGGAAAAAAAAATTCACCATATTTGCAGCAGAGTCCTCAGAACAATTGATCACTGTTGACGCTGTCGGAACTTTCTTACATTCTACCGCATCCTTGGTTTTGTTAAATTCCAACTTAGCTTGATCTTTCTGGAGATAACATCAAAGATCAGATTCAAGTTCCCACACAAATCTTTATGAAAATAAAATAATCTTGTGGACGGAGAGAAAATATCTACCTTCACGCCTTTTCGAGACAAATTCATGTTTTTATCAGATTTAGCCTCCAGGGTTGGCTTTTTCACGTTCCGCGCCTTTCCTTTGTTTTTACGGCTGGTCGACCCAAGCCTCTGCTTGGATGATGAACTTGGTGAACATTTCTGAGTATTGTCTTCAAGCAGCTCGATTTTAACAGAATCAAGAGAGATTACCATAAGAAAACCCCGTAGTTTTCTTAATATGCAATCAACTAAGGTGGTGAGAGAACCCAATGAGCTGAAAAATATATGTTGTACTGAAACTAAGCCATTCTGGCATGAGATGAGTAATGAAGTAAATTCTTTAAGCACGTATAAGCCACGTAAATTACTGGCAATGGTATAAGGTTTCCTTGATACAGAGTTTGGTTCGAAAATCATGTCACAGAATGAAACTGCAGAAGTTTCTGTACGCCGCCCTTCCCTTGCAGTGCCTTCACCAAAATTGAAGAGCCATGTATCTTCATGCGGTGCTTGATTTGCTTCTCTAAGAATCTCATGTATCTGAGTTTGCAGTGACAACAGACATTAAGATAAAATTCAAACTGCGAATACACAATTGTATACCATGTAATGGAACATAGTGGCAGAGGTCACACCAGAATGACAGAGACTTCCTGGATGCAAGTTCACACAAAAAAAAACAGGAACAACCTTAACCTATATAGTATAGACAAACTGGATAGAGGGAAGACAAGTGCTAAGCATCCACGATTTCAAATAATAGACCATTCCTAGTCCATACTCCATAGTTCGAGATAGCGCAATCATTTCGTTGGTTAGAAATGTTAACCATTGATAGAGCATAGCCAGTATAGGATATAAGTACTTTTCTATATTCCAACATCCTTTTTTCTATCAGTAACTAATCATATATAAGTTCCCGGTAATACATCTGCACGGATAATTTTGACATGAAGAACGCATACCATAGATTTTGCCGACTTCCCCAACAAACAAGCCCAGATTTTCTTGTGTGTTGCGGCATCCAAATTCTGCCACCAATCAGCACATGCCTTCTTCCTCCAATACGCATTCGCTGACGCAGCCGCAGCATTCAATTTCTCTTTCAGCTTCATTCCTCTTTTCTTGCCACTGTTGGTGTTGAGCCAAGCTAATCTCAAGCTTACCTCTAACCTATTTGCGATGAAAGCTTCCATGCTATAATAGCCTTTGGCTTTGAGCCACTCCAATTCTACCCAATTGGACCCCAAATCACTCTCTTCTCCTCTCAGGAATGCGCCATTCGATACAGCATCCATAGTCTCCACAAAACGATCCACGTTCGCAAGAAATTCGTGTTCCATGACGACTGAATCGAGGGAATTGACGGAGCAAGAGCAGTCTTCCCCTTCTCTTGAAGAAAAGAGGCGGGTTGAATCGAAAACCCAGCGCTCTGAGTGGTTGGACTCGGCAACCCTGGAGATTAACCCACGAGATTTCTTAAAGCAGAGAGTGGGAAGATCGAGGGAAGGGAGGTCCGGGAGGATGATGAAAGAGCCAGGGCCTTTGGTGCGGATATAACGGAGCATCTGGAGCAGGATTTGGACGAGCTTGGGATCGACGAAGGTGAGGTGAGAGAGGCGCTGGTGGACGGAGAGAGAAGAGAACCATCGGAGGATGGCGGACCTAGGATTAGGGCTAGTTGGAGGTGTGGAGGAGGAATAAGAAGAATGGGAGTGGTAGAGAGAGATGTGAGAGGTGAGGGAATCGATGAGTTGATTCTGAGCCATGGACGATCCTAATTTGCAAGGGAGATGGCGCTTCTCCTCCATGA